CCTGGCACTTCCTCCCTCTCTCTCTTGCTTCCTCTCACCATGTGACCTGCTTGTACCCGCCGGCTGCCTGCCACTTTCCGCCATGAGTAGAAGTAGTCTGAGGACAGTGCCAGATGCAGCTGTCCCAGAATCGTGAGCCAAATAAACCTGTTTTCCTTATAAATTACCTGGTCTCAGTTATTTCTGTTATAGCAACACAAAGCGGACTAAAACAGCTGTCAAGCCATGAAGGACATGGAGGAACCTTAAATGCATATTACTAAGTGAAAGAAGCCAATCCGAAAAGCCTACATACTGTGTGGTTACAACCATGTGACATTCTGGGAAAGGCAAAACTGTGGAGACAGTAAAAGGATCAGTGGCTGCCAGGGAAGAGGAAGGATGATAGGCAGGGCACAGGGGACTTTTAGGGCAATGACACTGTTCTGTATGATACTATAATAGCGGACACATTTGTCCAAACCTGTGGAATGTACACCACCAATGTCATGAACCCTGAAGTAAACTACAGACTCTGAGTGATAGTGTGTGTCAGTGTAGCTTTATTGATTATAATAAATGTATCCCTTGGCGGGGAGGTGTTGGTAGTGGGGGTGGGAGCTTTTCTTTCCTTAAACCTATCAAATACACTTATTTTATATATTTGATCATTCTAATATCTTATGACCTTGTGCATATAATTTTGTTAGTGGTATCTTTTTTCCTTAGGTGTTTTGTGATTTTTTTCTGTAATCTCGTGTTCAATCGAACTTTCTTGATGGGGATTCCTTGAGGCCTAGGTAGAAAGTGAATTTCTCCAGAGATATTTTTAAATCTCTGCCAGGTACGTGAGAGCATTGCCAATCCAGGATTATTTTAAAATAAATTCTCAGCATCAGTGTAAAATAAATAGTACGCTTGGAGTGTGAGTTCAGACACAGACTTGTGCAAGGCTTAGCCTTTGATGATCAAGCCAGCACCCAGGTTACAACGTGCGCACACCCCGGATTCCCACCTCCACGCATCTGGTCCTCCACCTGCTGCCCACACCTCTCCACCCCAGGCCTCTTCGAGGCCTTCTTCCCCCTCATTGCAGCTTTCACCGTGGAAACCTGTTACTCCACTAAAGGGGAGCTCATGCCAGCCCTCCAGACACATGTCTGGGAAATGGAGATTACCTTTTCTAAAAATCCCTTATTTCCACCTTCTGTGCCCAGTCTTGGAATAGGAACTAGAAATACAGGTGTGAAGAAAGACACATGGCCTGTCTTCATGACACTCACAGTTTGGTAGGAAAAAATAATAGTTAATACTTATTGAGCCCTGTCTTGCACTAGCCACCACCTTGGTGCTTACATGTACATGTGTCATGCTGTCCTGGTAATGACCCTGCAGAGTAGGCTCTCTCATGGATATTTTGTGGATGAAGAAGCTCGGGTTTGGGGGCTGCAGGGAGTGAGTGTGGCACTGGGATTTGGGATCCCTTGGTGATGTCCCTTGCAGCGCAGTGGCCTGCTCATGGTCTTCTCTCTCATGAAGGCTGTGAGTGCCCGTGTGCTGCAAGTACAAGCTTCATAAGACCCTGGCTCACAAGACTGAGGAGAAGCCCTGTGTAACCCACACTGATTTCCAGGATGCCAATGTCATCTTCCTAGGGGGGATGCACCCCAGTGACATCAGGCAGTACCTGGAGGGCCACCCCCGTGGTGGTAGAAGTTCACAACTGGACCACAAGACAGAGAAGTATTCTCGGAAGCCCACCCTGTTTGGGTAGGACCCCCTCGATTTGCACCCCAACTTCCCGGCCTCTATCTCTCCCAGACAGATAGAGAACATGTTTATCCCAGAACAAGATGTGGGACCCTTATGGGGCTGCCTGGGTCAGTTTTGCCAAACTTCTCTTTGGCCACACGTACTTGAACCTGGCTGTGCCCATCCACAGCTGCGAGGCGAAGCCCATGAGCTGTGGCCAGGACAGCAGGAGCAGGATGGTTGTGAGGTTTTGGGTCCCCATGGATGGCTACCAGCATGGCCCAGTGCTCATGGGCAACTACCGAGAGGCTAACTCTCTGCTCAAACTGCTAGTGGACATTCTGGTGCCACTGAGGGCCGGGACCAAAGCCCCCGATCTAGACCTCATAGACCTCCAGTCGGGCCGCATCATTTTCATGTTCAACTCCAAGAAGCTCTTCCTCCTCTTCAGCCTGCTGCAGGACATCACCATGGTCAATGCCAAGGCCATGGATCAGAACTCCTCCCCACCAGGAGCATCCAGCAGATCCATCCACCCTCCAGCAGGTGAAGGTCTGGGGCAGCAGCACCTGCACTCACCGGCTTCCATCTGCTGGGCGGGGAGGTCCACTTCTTCACTGTGGAAGGCTTGGTGGACAGAGGCTTGAGGCAGCTGTTGGAGAGCCACCAGAGCCAGTAGGTGGCCTGTTCTGTATTTCATATCCGATCGATGGCATCTGGATACCAAGTGAGTGGAGAGATCTTTCGAAGCCAAGCCTAGGTTCAGTGTCCTCGTCTGCAAGAGGGAGACGTTGATTCTGTTCCTCTGAGGTATGGGGTGCTTCAAAGTTCATGGAAAATAGAGTTAAAAGATAATACGAATCTTTCCATAAACTTTTTGAAGTACCCTTGTACTTACCAGGGCTCAGTAACTGGACTTGAGCATAGGAAGAACTGGTTGCTTTTGGTTGAAGGGAAGAATTTAGGGGTATAAAGAAGACGGGGGTTCCAGGAAGTGGGTCCTGCCCTCGCATTCTGAGCTGAGGGCCACCTCAGCTAATCAGGAGCAGAATGTTATGTTTTACACATCAGGTCAGCCAGAGGAAGATTATTTTGAAGGTGAAGGGCTGCACAGGCTGCAGGAAGTTGCCCTTCACTGGAGGCCTTCAGGGGCACCTGGATGGCCACTCAGTGGGGAAATTAGATTCTAGGTTGGTGCAGGTGGCCCCTCATAGTCCTTCTAATCTTTAATTTTGGTAAACTGATAATTCTCCTTTCCTTTCACAATCTTCAGGTATCCTAGTGTGGGTAAATAGGATCTCCTTCCTGTAGCCTAGAGGGCCCCTATCTGTCCTCAGAGTTCAGATGTCCCAGGACCCACATGGTGACAGCAAGGAGTTCCAGAAGTTGTCTACCCAGGAGGGTATTGCAGATCTATGGGGACCAATCTTGACATGTGACATGCTGAAAGGCACAGGTCGAAGCTGGCCTTATGTCTAGTTATATGTCCAGGAGAACTGAAAATATGTGTCTACACAAAAACCTGTACATGAATATTCATAGCAGCATTATGTATAATAGTCAAAAAGTGAACTGATGTCCATCAACTGATTAAATAGCAACAAAATGTGGGGTAAGAGTATAACAGAATGTTATTCAGCCATAAACAAATGAAGTACTGACACACATACTTCAACATGAATGCATCTTGAAATCATGCTAAATAAAGAAGCCAGACACAAAAGGTCACATATTTTTTATCAGTCCATTTATATGAAATGTCCAGAATAGGCAAACCCATAGAGATAGAAGTAGATCTGTGATTGCCAAGGACTCAGGGGAGGGGCGAGAGAGAAGTGGGGAGTGGCTGCTGATGGGCACAGAGTTCGTTTTAGGGGTGATGAAAATGTTCTGTAGAACTATAGATAGTGTTTATAGTTGCATATCATTGTGAGTATACCAAAAACCACTCAAGTGTGCACTTTAAAAGGTTGGATTTTATGGTGTGTACTGAAGAATTTGCCCTTGCCCAAGAGGGGTCTGGACTCTTCCCTTGGCTTCTGGGAGGTGATCTATGTCACTCCTAATAGGAGTGTCTTTGTTTAGTGTGGGACTTGCCAACCTGATAGTCATAGTTTGAGGCTGGCTGTGCCAGAAAGACCAACAATGTGATTTAAGGTGGGGGCTTTGGGTCATGCAGTATCTTGATCTGGAAACTGAGTTAAGCCATATGGGCACTCAACCAGCCAACCCTGCCTATGTCACAGAGCCCCAATAAAAACCCTGAACACCAGGGCTCAGCGATCTTCCTGTGGCTGGCATTCCTCTTGCACGTTGTCACTCATCACTGCCATAAGGTAGCACATCCTGACGCCATGCAGAAGGACAGCAGAAGCTTTGTGCTTAGAACTTTCCTAGACTCTTCCCTGTGTCTGTCTTCCCTTGGCTGATTTTAATGTGTATCCCTTTCCTGTAATAAATC